CTTCTCAGGCTAAATTAGTCTGCAGTGCCTTTCACGTTCCTTGATTTGTGTTTGGGCAATACTGTGGTCCCTATGTAGACTTGTCTACAGCTGCATGGTATACACTAGACTCCTGCAGAGGTGAGTGGATCCCTCTTGTCTTTTGCTGAACGTAGCATTTGTTGGATTTTCTTAGAGGGTCTGTAGATAGTTTGTAGGTTGAGTTTCTCATCAGCTTCCTTATGCGGTCAGTGGTTCCCTTGTGAAACTACTCTAATGCTCTGCAGTGCAGCCCTATACACATCTGCTCAGAGGTAAATCCCATTAAATTCACTGTGCTTATTCCAAAGCAAGTGCATACTGCAGTCTTTGAATACTTTTTTCTTGATCAGTGCACCCAATGGATCACGGCAAGCTGCTTTTGAAACAGACAGAAGTTTCAAAAGATGTAATTATATCAGATGCTAAAATAAAATAACAACAAAGAAAGCTTCTGTCGAATTGGTTCAAGCATTTTGTATTTGACTTTGAATCTTGGTCATTCTCTTTAGTTAGAAATTAATTGGATTCAGAGGGATGTATTGACACAGTACTGCGGCCATAGGAGGCACTGGGACATTCTGATTAAACAAATGGGAAAACTACCACTAATAAGATCCCAAAGGGGGTTTAATAGCCAGCAGAGGCAATGCTGGTCCAGAGACAGAGTAAATGAGATCATTCCAATAGAAGAATTTCAAAGGGAGAGACCACTGTGAAACAGTTGAATAATTATATAGATTTGGAATAAACAGAAGCACAAAAAATGAAATATAAAGATAGAGAATGGGGGGCGCCTGGCTTGACAGAAGTATGTGTTAAACATGAACCAACAATGTCATGTGGTGGCAAAAAAGCCAATGGGATTTTGAGCTGCAACAGAACAAGTATAGCGTCTACATCCAGGGAAGCCATACTACGCCTCTATTCTGCTTGGTCAGATTACACCTGGAATAATCTGTCCAATTTTGGGCATCTTAATTGAAGGGAAATGTTGACAAGCTGGAGAGTTTCCTGAGAAGGGTGACTAAAATGATCAAGGGTCTGGAGAACAAGCCCTATGAGGAGCAGCTTAAAGAGCTGGGCATGTTTAGCCTGCAGAAGAGAAGGCTGAAAGGACACATGATGGCCATGTACAAATATGTGAGATAAAGTCATAGGGAGGAGAGAGCAACCTTGTTTTCTGCTGCCCTTAAGACTAGGATGCAGAGCAATGGCTTCAAACTACAAGAAAGGAGATTCCATCTGAACATTAGGAAGAACTTCCTGACTGTGAGAGCTGTTCAGCAGTGGAACTCTCTGCCCTGGAGTGTGGTGGAGGCTCCTTCTTTGGAGGCTTTTAAACAGAGTTTGGATGGCCATCTGTCAGGGGTGCTTTGAATATGATTATTTGCTTCTTAGCAGGGGCTTGGACTGGATGGCCTAAGAGGTCTCTTCCAACTCTATGACTGTATGATTCTAAGCAATAGTCCTGTGCTACTACAGGTGTCACTGAGCAACACAGCTATTTCTCTGGAAACTGACCAGCTGTCTCTCAACAGATCATTGTATGGACAACCACTAAAATTATATTCAAAACTAGCTGTCCCCTGCCACGCATTGCTGTGACCCAGTTTGAGCATATGTGTTTTTGTGTGTATATATATTTGTGTATATGTGGTTTTGCGCATGCATTGTAATGTTGTTGGGGTTTGTTAGTTTTTGGTTTTTTTTTTTTTGCTTTTTAAGTCTCTTCTGCTCTGTTTTTCAGTGTTTTTATGAGTGATGGTCACTCGTTGGCCTGATAGGTGTATTATGTCTGAATTTGGTGTCAATTCATCAAGTGGTTTTTGAGTTATGTTAATCCCACAAACGAACATTACATTTGTATTTATATAGATTATACAATTTTTTTCAGCACTTGCATAAAAAGAATAAAGAAACATTAAGAACACATAAAAAGGCAGAAATGAGGATTAAAGCATGAGACTCTTAATTTCTAACACAGATTTAAATTCAAAACATACACTATAAACATTTATGAAAACAAAGTTAAATGAATTAAAATATTTACCATTGTAAAATGCTTTTATCATTGGAATTTGACGAAATCTAATAATCTTGACCCTTGTGAGACAAGAAATAGAAACTACAAATGTTATTTGCTGGGTTAGTTTCTCTAAATGTTTTCACTTGAATCAACATTATTTAAATGGCGAACAAGAAATAAACAGTTTCTATGCTGTATTTACTTTTTAGATTAACTGATTATGATGTTTCTAACAAGTGTGCATCTCATGGTTCTGATTCACAAATAAATTAACTAAAATGGTGTAGTTCCACCTTGACATTTGTCCATTCTGATTTGGATTATTGCACATGCATTTCCTTCCCTCTCCTAGGTATATTCTTTAATATAAACAGACTTCAACTCGAGTATGAATTGTGCTGCCAGGAGGAAGCACACTAGTAAAGAAATCATTGAATTGGAAGTTCAGAAAAAGTATGATTTTGCATGAGTAACACATGTGCCTGCTGAATATATCTACCCACTTAAAAATCTTAAATAGGTGTCAATATAATTAAAATTAATCAGATTCATAGAGCTGCAATACTAGTGTAGAAATCAATTGCAAAGAAACCTAAGGCATGGACATCTACTCTTCTTTTTACAAGCTTTAGAAGAAAAATCCACAATCTTCCAATTCTACTTTTAGACAAATTTTACCACCAAGACGTTCTACCTTTGGAGACTCCTTTCTTGTAATTTGGATCCACTGGTTGAGTTCCTCTATCATCAGAAAATAATCACACTCTTTGTCTTTCTAATTACAGACCAACAGGTTGCATGTTCAAATCCAGGGAGAGTGCAGGTGAGCTCCCTCTGTCAGCTCTAGCTCCCCATGCAGGGACATGAGAGAAGCCTCCCACAAGGATGGTAAAAAAAATCAAAACATCCAGGCATCACCTGGGCAACGTCCTTGCAGACGGCCAATTCTCTCACACCAGAAGCGACTTGCAGTTTCTCAAGTCGCTCCTGATATGACAAAAAAGTAGAAGGAACCATTCTCTCTTTTCATATTGATTTGGGAACTTCCCCTTTCCCTAGGAATTCTGTCTTAATTCCCAAAAAAAGAAAATTTGTTTTATCTGTGTGGTAGAGGATATAGGACAAGTTATGAAAATTACTGTTGTTCCTTAATACATAATATCTAATGATATTAGCAGTGATTGAGTTGGGATAATCCTAAACTCATAATCCAGCCAATTTTCTCACACCAGAAGCGACTTGCAGTTTCTCAAGTTGCTCCTGACGTGACATATATGTAGAGTTGTAGTTCAGCTACATCCAAAGAGCACTGTGGACTCAAACAATGATGGACCTGGACCAAACTTGGCATGAATACTCAATATGCCCAAATATGAACACTGGTGGAGTCTTGGGGAAACAGACCTTGACATTTGGGAGTTGTAATTGCTGGGGTTTATAAAGGTAAAGGTTGTCCCTGACATTAAGTCCAGTCATGTCTGACTCTGGGGTGTGGTGCTCATCTCCATTTCTAAGTCAAAGAGCCGGCGTTGTCCATAGACACCTCCAAGGTCATGTGGCCGGCATGACTGCATGGAGAGCTGTTACCTTCCCGCCGGAGTGGTACCTATTGATCTACTCACATTTGCATGTTTTTGAACTGCTAGGTTGGCAGAAGCTAGTGCTGACAGCGGAAGCTCACGCCGCTCCCCGGAATAGAACCTGTGACCTTTCGGTCAACAAGCTCAGCAGCTCAGCGCTTTAACCCACTGTGCCACCGGGGGCTCCTGGCTGGGATTTATAGATCACCTTAAATCAAAGAGCACTCTGAACCTAGCCCACAATGGATCTGCAACCCCAGAGAACATGGTGGACTCAAACAAGGATGGATCTGGATCAAACTTGGCACGAATACTCAATGGTCGCAGGTTCAAATCCGGGGAATGGGGTGAGCTCTTGCTGTTAGCCCTAGCTTCTGCCAACCTAGCAGTTCGAAAGCATCGAAATGTGAGATCAATAGGTCTGCTCCAGTTTCCCAAGTAGATCTATAGGTGCGGGAAGGTAATGGCGCTCCATGCAATCATGCCGGCCACAAGACCTTGGAGGTGTCTATGGACAATGCCAGCACTTCGGTTTAGAAATGGAGATGGACAAAGACAACCAATAATGACCAGAGTAGGAAAGGACAATGACGATGCTAAATGGTTTACGGACTTGGATTTGGTGAACACTGACCACAAGATGTTTTATTGCTGCTAGTATACTGTCTGATGGTTTTAATTAGTTATAACTGTGGTATTATGTGGTAAATTTGTGTATTGTATAGTGTGTTGTATGTTGTAATTGTTAGGCATCGAATTGTGCCTTTTGTAAGCCTCCCTGAGCCCCCCCTGGAGGGGGGGGGGGTAAAAGCACTCCAAATAAATAAAATAAATAACATTTTGTTAGTTTTGGCCCATCTCTCTAATCTGTCAAGATCGTTTTGAATTCTGCTCTTCTTCGGGCTAAACACGCCCAGCTCCTTAAGCCGCTCCTCATAGGGCTTGTTCTCCAGACTCTTGATCATTTTAGTCACCCTCCTCTGGACACATTCCAGCTTGTCAACATCTCTCTTCAATTGGGCACAATATTCTAGATGTGGTCTAACCATGGCAATCAAAGCACATTCTGAACTCCACCAAGGATTGAATTGGGCCAAACTTCCCACACAAAACCTAGATGAGCAACAGAAAATAGTGTTTTCTGGGGTCTTTGACAACACCCCCCTCCCCAGGTTGAGAAACGCTGTGGCCTAACCCAACCCCAATATGTGTAACATTTTAGTAAAGGCTTAAAAGGACGCCATGAGTGTGGATTTGGGCCTCAATCAGGCCCTCCTCTCTCCCTCCCTCCATGGGAACAAAAAGTCCCGGCTGGATCCCTGTCTAAGGAAGGCGAGTTGGGTGTGGCTTGAGCCTCATTGGGCCGGGCCTTCCCAACCTGCCGCTTAAAAGGACGAGGCTTGTGTTTTGAGGGAAGGAGGTGTACGTGTGGGGGTTGTTATTGGTCTCTTTTGTGTGTTTTGGAGCCGGGGTTTGGGGAGCACGTTGGGGAACCCGCCTGTGAGCAAGGCAGCGCGCGCGTGGGCAGAGATGGTGAGTCGTCGCGCAGGGAACAACGCGCCCAAGGAGTTGTAGGTCTTGTTTTGAGGCGCAGGGAGGGGGACAAAAGAATGAATAGGCCCAACATGGGGAGCCTAGTAATGGCTGGAGTGGGTCTTTAAGAGCGCCTCGCTTCGAGGGTTTTGAGGGAGAAAGCGGCTGAAGGAGGGACGATGTGGCGTTGGGTGGAAAAGGCGGGAAGCCCTCGCCACGCCTTTGAGGGGAGACGGGAAGGCTTTGGGGCCTATGGCGGAGGAGTAAGTGCGGAATTCGATAGGCGCCACCACCATTTTGTCTCCTCAGGCACACTCTCATCTCGACGATCTTTGAATGCACTTCGAAGGCGGCTTCAAACTGCCACCAAAAGCGCGCCAAAGCAAGGCCCCTTCACGCGCGCCATTGCTTTGGAGTGTCACCACCAGTTAGGCCTCGAAGGGGTCCCTATGGGCGCAGCGAGATCCCTGGCTTCAATCCACTTTAAGTGTGGGGGCTCTGGTTCAGAACAATAGAAAGCCACACTGGCCTTCCCAGATCGTCTTGGGTTGGGTCTACACCAGGCATGGGCAAACTTGGGCCCTCCAGGTGTTTTGGACTTCAACTCCCACAATTCCTAACAGTCTCAGGCCCTTTCCTTTTCACCCCCAGCCGCTTGGCTGGGGGTGAAAAGGAAGGGGCCTGAGGCTGTTAGGAATTGTGGGAGTTGAAGTCCAAAACACCTGGAGGGCCCAAGTTTGCCCATGCCTGGTCTATATTACCTGAATTGCAATATATAATCGTTGTAATGCCCTTCAGTCTTGGGTAGTAACCGCCTATAATGCCCTTCAGTGCACTTTAGAGTAAATTATAAAGGTCTGTATTATATAGTCTTGTGTAGTAACCTCCTGTAATGCCATTTAGTGCAGTTCAGAGTATATTAAGAAAGTCTATATTCAATAGTATTATGTAGTAGCCTCTTGTATTGCCTTTCAGTGCAGTTCAGAGTACATTATGAAGGTCCATATTATATAGCTTTGTGTAGTAACCTATACTGTCCTTCAGTGCAGTTCAGGGTACATTATAAAGGTCCATATTATATAGCCTTGTGTAGTATCCTCCTTCAGTGTAGTTCAGGGTACATTATAAAGGTCTATATTATATAGTCTTGTGTAGTAACCTATACTGTCCTTCAGTGCAATTCAGAGTACATTATAATGATTTATATTATATGGTAATGTGTAGTAACCTCCTATAATGCCCTTCAGTGCAGTTCAGGGTACATTATAAATATCTATATTATGTAGTCTTGTGTAATAACCTATACTGTCCTTCAGTGCAGTTCAGAGTACATTATAAAGGTCCATATTATATAGTTTTGTGTAGTAACCTCCTATAATGCCCTTCAGTGCAGTTCAGAGAATATTATAAAAGTCTGTATTTCGTAACCTATACTGTCCTTCAGTGCAGTTCAGGGTACAATATAATGATCTATATTATATGGTAATGTGTAGCAACCTCCTGTAATGCCCTTCAGGGTATATTATAAATGTCTATATTATGTAGTCTTGTGTAGTAACCTCCTATAATACCCTTCAGTGCAGTTCAAGAGTATATTATAAAAGTCTGTATTTCGTAATCTATACTGTCCTTCAGTGCAGTTCAGAGTACATTGTAAAGATCTATATTATATGGTAGTGTGTAATAACCTCCTATAATGCCCTTCGGTGCAGTTCAGAGTATATTATAAAAGTCTGTATTTTGTAGTCTTGCGTAGTGACCTATAATGACTGCTCTGCAGTGCAGTTCAGAGTATATTAAGAAAGTCTATATTCAATAGTATTGTGTACCAGCCTCTCGTAATGCCTTTCAGTGCAGTTCAGAGTACATTATAAAGGTCCATGTTATATACCGTAGTTTTGTGTAGTAACCTATACTGTCCTTCAGTGCAGTTTAGAGTACATTATAAAGGTCTATATTATATAGTTTTGTGTAGTAACCTCCTTCAGTGCAGTTAAAAGTACATTTTAAAGGTCCATATTATATAGTTTTGTGTAGTAACCTATACTGTTCTTCAGTGCAGTTCAGAGTACATTTAAAGGTCTATATTATATAGTTTTGTGTATTAACCTCCTTCAGTGCAGTTCAAAGTACATTTTAAAGCTCCATATTATACAGTTTTGTGTAGTAACCTATACTGTTCTTCAGTGCAGTTCAGAGTACATTATAAAGGTCCATAGTTTTGTGTAGTAACCTCCTATAATGCCCTTCAGTTCACTTCAGAGTACATATTTTATTTAATCATTGTGTAAGGAGCGAACCAAAACAGTTGTATTGCATTACAAACAAACAAAACACAAAGTTTGCAGACTTGGTATTCTATTAGATGTCCTTTGACCAGCAGCTGGCTACTTGGAGTGCCTCTGGTGTTGCTGCAAGAAGGTCCTCTATTGCGCATGTGGCAGGGCTCAGGTTGCATTGCAGTAGATGGTCTGTGGTTCGCATGCCGTGGATTCAACTTTGTAGCCCCATTTCTTAAGGTTGGCTCTGCATCTCGTGGTGCCAGAGCGCAGCCTGTTCAGCGCCTTCCAAGTCGCCCAATTTTCTGTGTGTCCAGGGGGGAGACTCTCATTTGGTAGCAATTGATTGAGGTTGTGGGTTTGAGCCTGCCACTTTTGGACTCTTGCTTGCTGAGGTGTTCCAGCGAGTGTCTCTGTAGATCTTAGAAAACTATTGATTTAAGTCATTAAATCATTCAGAGTACATTATAAAGGTCCATATTATATAGTTTTGTGTAGTAACCTTCTATAACGCCCTTCAGTGCAGTTCAGAATACGTTTTAAAGGTCTATATTATGTAGTTTTGTGGAGTAACCATCTATAATGCCCTTCAGTGCAGTTCAAGTGGCATTATAGGGGTGTACACCAGGCATGGGCAAACTTCAGTCCCCCAGGTGTTTTGGACTTCCAGCTCTCACAATTCCTAACACCTGGTAGGAATTGTGGGAGTTGAAGTCCAGAACACCTGAAGAGTTGAAGTTTGCTTATGTCTGCTCTGCACTGATCATGTCAGTGTAGATCCAAGCCTTGACTTATAGAGAATGTTTGTGGGGAAGGCCTCCAATTGATGTTCTAGCTGCCTGCGGTTAATTTTAGGATATGAGGATTAATACTTTTTGACACCACTACCATGACTCCATGCTGTGGAATCATGGGATTCATAGTTTGGTAAGGCCACCAGGACACAGACGGAAAAGGTGAAAGACGTTGTGAAACCACAACTTCCTTGATTCCATCCTGTGAAGCCATGGTATTTATATTTAAAAGTCGTGACAAACTGCATTAATTCTGCCCCGCTTCATCGCTGCAGTCTTTAATGTGCTTTAGTGTGCTTACTTAGAAGTAAGCCCCATTGTCATTGCTGGGTGTTACATCTAGGTAAATCCTTGGGTTCAAGCCAATTTCCAAGGGTGCCTCTGCACTGTAGAATTAATGCAATGTGACACCACTTTCGCTGCCATGGCTCAGTGCTATGGAGTCATGGGATTTGTAGTTTGGTGAGGCACCAGCACACTCCTGCAAAGGAGGCTAACAATCTCCTGACAACTCCCAGGATTCCATAGTATCAAGCTTGATAAGACAATTAAAATTGTGACAAACTGCATTAATTCTACAGGGTATCTGCACCCTTGGGCCCCATCTAGAATGAACATTTAATGAAGTTCAAAGCTAGCTTCAAATTGGCAGCCAGGCAACTATCTTCCACAAAAGTGTGCCAAAGAAAGCTCTCAACGCTCTCTGGTTTTTGTACCTCAAACTGATTCCAGGTTTTTCTGTGTCATCATCTGCGCAGTGAAACCACTTCTTTCAATATTGATTTGAAATTGCCTTGAAACTGGACTTGCAGTTTGGTGAGGCGCCTGCCCTGTTGAGCAGACAAGACTAAAACCTTGTAAAGCCGTAACTCCCATGATTCCATAGCATCAAGCCCCGGCAGTTAAAATTCTGACAGACTGCATTAATTTTACAATGTAGATGCAGCCTTCATCTCTGAAATCTTCATTGTGCCTACTTGGAAGTAAGCTCCATTGTTATCATTGGGGCTTAGTTCAAGGTTATAGGGTTTGAACCAATTTCCAACTGAAGCACCTCCAAGTTTTACTGTAACCCCAAGCCTCAACCTTTCCTCTCCTTGTCCTCTTATCTAGTTGGAAGTTTTTTTAACAGCATCAGCATTGGGAATTCCAGTAGTGAAGGATGTGTGGAGAAACACAGGCTATTGGTGTCAGGTTGCAGCAATTTGTCTGCAATAAACAATGTAATAAATGCTTGAGTTGCAAAGTATGCCATTTTACCCTTAACTGTTCCTATTCCAGCTTGTTTGTATCTGCCTGCAACACTTAAGATAAACAGCAGGTGCCTGCAGAATCCTTTACTAAGCATTCATGAACATCAACTTAAAGGCAGCTGGCTATCCAACAAATTTGTTTTTAAAAAAAAAACAGATCTGTAAGTTTGGCCACCAAAATTGAAATCTACAAAGTGGAAGTAGATGAAGGATAAAGTGATCCTTGGATGCATTTTGAAAGAAGCCTTCAAGTTATCTCAAGAAGATTCCATATATTTTTGTCTTTCTGGAAGGCTTACATGACCTGATTGGTTTCATTTCACATGTGCATGTTATTTTGGATAAAAAGTTTGCAAACCCACAACGAACTGCTATTTTGTGGTGTAGTAACCAGTGCTAATTCTTTCCATTTTATCTCTGCCTCTGGCACCCACCTATGTTCTTAACCTCTGTGCCTGTATTCCTAACTAGGGTTTTGGGAAATTGCTGGTTAATGCAACTGGAGTTTAACTGCCTGTAAGACAAATTGGTAACACTCATGAGGCCTGGTGGGAGAAGTTTGTGTGATAGATTTTTTTTCCAGGCTGGTATTTAGTGAAATTTGTCAAGTTACAGAAATCTGGCTGCTGGTGAGGAGTTGTACCAGCTATTAATAGTATGGGATCAAAGAACACCTGAAATACTCAGTATAATCTTTTGAACTTGAAAAACTGTAATGTTAATAGAGATAATAGTTAGAAAATATGGTCTATAAAAAGATGTGTATAGATGAGATTTTAGTGAAACCTGCAAGTCGAATGAAACTGACCAATATAGGCTTTTATTTTCATATTATAGACAAACCAAAACTTAATGGTTTTCATATTAGCATCTGTGCCACTAATTGCATTTATTTATTTTATGTCAAAAGCATTACATAAATAAGTATAAAACTGATAAAATAGAGGGAGCACAAGCAGCTAAATAATTTTAGACCAAAAATGGGCAACAGCAACGCATTGTCTGTACCTTTAAACAGTTCTTCCTTTGCGCATGAGGCAGGTCATTGTGGGCAAGCATACACATGCGGTGTTCGTTTTGCCATTTTGTCAGGTTGTCTTTTGATCTGTCCACTCCACTTCTGAGTCTGTTCAGGGACTTTCAAATTGGCCATTCTTCATTTGCCCCTGTGGGAAGACCCTCAGRGGGGCGGGTCATTCATTTGGGATTTCCTGTTTTAGCTGCCCAGAGTTGCTGTTGCTGGGAAACATTAAGAGGAGTGGTGATTCTCAGTTAGCAACTTCCCGCCGCACATGGGGGGGGGGGGGCAATGCCAGCTAGCTTATACAGTCTATCAACAGATGTGGGTTTGAGACATCCTGTGATTATTCTACATGCTTTATTCAGTGCTATATTCACCTGTTTCATGTGGACAGACTTGTGCCAAACAGGGCAGGCATATTCAGCAGTTGAATAAGACAAGGCCAAGGCTGATGTTCTTATTCATTTTGGGTCTGCACCCCATGCACTGCCAGTAAGTTTCCGCAGGATGTTATTGCGAGCAGCTACTTTGTACTTTGTGTTCATACAGTGTTTCTTAAATGTTAGTGTTTGATCTAAGGTGACGCTGAGATATTTATGATAGGAACAGGTTCGAGCTCTTGGCCTTCCCAGGTAAATTTCAATTTCCTGTTGGCTTCATGGTTATGTAGGTGGAAGGCACACACTTGTGTCTTGACAGGGTTAGGCTTCAAGTGGTTATCCTTGTAGTAATGTTGGCATTGCTTTACTAATTGCACTTATACCTGTGAGATATTCAAATACATTTCCTAGCCTAAAGTGTGAAAATGTCTTTTAAGGAAATCTGTTTTATTGCTTTGCAGTCTGCTGGAAGTCAAGATGCTCAGAATGCAAGCATTCCTAGGGACGAAAGCACTCAGTTGCCTGCAACAAGCCAAGGATATGTTCTTCCTGAAGGGAAAATCATGCCAAATACCGTTTTTGTGGGAGGAATTGATATAAGGGTATGTTTGTTGTCACGTGCCTTCAAATTGCTTCTGACTTACTACAGTCATAAGGTAGGGGTTTTTTTGGCAAGATTTCTACTGAAGTGGTTTACCATTGCCTTTATCTTAGTTTTGTTCATGACCATCTCTGGATCTTCATGGTCCAACAGGGATTTGAACCTTGGTCTCAAAGTCCTAGTCTTGCACTCAAATCACTACATCATATTGGCACTCTGTATAGAAACATAGAGACCAGATGTATGTATCTATTTTATATTGAATTGAATTTAATGTCCTACTTCATCCTGAGGATCCAGCAGTATATTTAATGATGCAGCATTAGATAGATCTGGTTTGGTAGGCCAGAGTTCCACCCCAAAAATGCAATTAAGCTTTATATAGAATTCTTACAAAAAACATTTCGTAGTAGTAATTGAGCAACAAAAGACTGACATAAATGCAATCTCAACAATAAAGAACAATTTCTATTTCCAAAAAAATCACACTTGTTCTTTGCGTCTTATTCTGGTGTTCTAGCTGTTAACATTGGTAGAATTGTTTTGTACCTGTATAACTTGAAATTGCTACAAACTTAGAACATTTTCTGAACAAACTATTTTCTTCAACTTGGCTTTATCACTTTCTGATTTTCATGTCCCTACAACTGTTCGGTCTCTTAAAATAATCACCCCCTCAAAAAAAACCTTGGATACTTTTGTTTCAAAATATGATAAGACAAAACTGTTTACTAAATTATACCTAAAGGAAATCAGTTACTTTTTCTTGGTTTGATTTTCCTCTTAAATTATGAAATTTCTGGTACCCTCAATCCATCCTCCCTGCCTCCACAAGATTAATAAGGGTTAATTCCTTTTCCCTAATGCAGGCATCCTCAAACTGGCCCTCCTACTGTTTTGGACTTCAACTCCCAGAAGACCTAGTCAGCTTGTTCAATGGGAGTTGGAGGGCCACAGTTTGAGGATGCCTGCCCTAATGCATTCAGACTATATTTCAATTCTTTTTTTTCCTATTTTCTCTTGCCTTCTTAATTTCGCCCTAAAGTACCCATGGTCTAGCCTCTTCATCTAAACTTGTTTGACAGTTTTATTTCTCACTTTATTCAACAATAGTAATTTATTTGTCATGGGGGTATAAATTCCTGAGAGTTCAGTATTTTTTGGGAGCTTTCTAAACAGTTTTGAAGCAGTGCTTCGGAGAACTGTGACAGTATTAATCTTTGTATGATATAACATATCTAGATGGATGAGACGGAAATTCGGAACTTCTTTGCACGATATGGCACAGTTAAAGAAGTGAAAATAATCACTGATCGAACTGGTGTGTCCAAAGGGTAAGTCGCATATAGAAGAAGTTTAAGTCTGTCGATGAAATTATAACAATTATAGTGACTATACCATAGCAAAGAACTTTCCAAACTGTGTATTGTGACATGTTAGTGCAGTGTTTCTCAACCTGGGGGTTGTGAGGGAGGTTTCAGAGGTGTTGCCAAAGACCACCAGAAAACACATGCTTCTGATGGTCTTAGGAATCTTTTAGCAAAGAAGGCTGAAGATCTCTCCACCTGTCCTTCTCTTTCTTTTTGGTGTTGGTGAACTACAACTCCCAGAATTCAAAAACAGCCTCCCAACCCCACCAGTATTCAGTGTTGCCCATGTAGGCAGTGTGCCACGTTTGGTGCAGATCCATTGAGGGCTGGGTTCAGAGTTCTCTTTGATTGTAGGTCAACTATAAATCCCAGCAGCTACAACTCCCAAATGTCAAGGTCTATTTCCTCCAAACTCCACCAGTGTTCACATTTGGGCATATTGAGTATTTGTTCCAAGTTTGGTCCAGATCCATCATTGTTTGAGTCCGCAGTGCTCTCTGGATGTAGGTGAACTCCAACTCCAAAACTCAAGGTCAATGCCCATCAAACCCTTCCAGTATTTTCTCTTGGTCATGGGAGTTCTGTGTGCCACAGTTGGTTGAATTCCATCGTTGGTGGTGTTCAGAATGCTCTTTGATGGTAGGTTGACTATAAATCCCAACAACTACATCTCTCAAATGACAAAATCACTGCCCCCCTCCCAACCCCACCAGTATTCAAATATGGGTCTATAGGATATTTGTGCCAAATTTGCTCTAGTGAATGAAAATAATCCTGTATATCAGATATTTACATTATGATTCATAACAGTAGCAAAATTACAGTTATGAAGTAGCAACAAAAATAATTTTATGGTTGTAGGTCACAACATGAGGGACTGTTGAAGGGGTTGCGGCATTAGAAAGGTTGAGAAATTAATGTGTTAGTGTGTTTGCTGCATGTCTAAAACATGTGTCACCAACACGAAATGTTTGGAAAGCTCTGCCATAACATATCAATGTAACATAAGCCTAATAGCTTGAGCCTTGAACCAATAGTCTGAGCTTGTTTCCTTCTGCTAGATATGGTTCAGTGATGTGCTCGTTTTTAAATAATTGGTTGACATGTATGTTTCTGTGATGTAATTGTATTAAATATAGTTTAAGTCTATATTGCAAGCTGTATTGGCACCTTGCAACTGAAAGATCAGACATAAACATTCTGAAAAGAGGAAAAATGATGGGTGGAATGTTTCCTTTATATTTGATTTTGCTAAGCTGTTTCGTCCTATTCAACTGAATTCCTTTACCAATGTAACTAATTCTCCACTTGAAATTTTCATCTCTGATCTCTTTAGCTTGTTATCCTAATGTGCTAAAAACATTTTTATAGCATGGGGTGGAAATTTGAGGTATTTCACATGTTGTCCAGTGTAGCTTCTGGCAGTCATAGCCAGTGTTGTGGGGTGGTGATGAATTGTAGTCCAGCAACATCTGGGTGGCTACCAATTGTTCTAGTATATGAAACTGACTTTAGTAATGAGTACTAGACTGGAACGTTGGTATTACTGCACTTATTTTTGTCTTGTCTTTATAGGTATGGATTTGTGTCATTTTTGGACAATGTAGATGTACAGAAAATAGTTGAAGTAAGTTGTTCATTTGGGCTCCTGTAGTATGCTAGCATGAACTTTATCTGCAAATTTTGTTCTTTGCTGTGGGAAGTGTAAGTCTAATTTAAACAGCATTACATTAAAGTAGGGGATGTTTAGATTTTGTTTGTAGCTTGTGATTCAGATCAATAATTTACTTCGAGCCCTTCCACACGGCCCTATATCCCAGAATATGAAGGCAGAAAATCCCACATTATCTGAGTGTGGACTCAGATAACCCAGTTCAAAGCAAATATTGTGGGATTTTCTGCCTTCATATTCTGGGATATAGGGCTGTGTGGAAGGGCCCTGGAGTCTTCTCTGCCAAAAGGGGCTTAATAACTTTCATTTCCAAATGAAGTTTAAGAGAATAAAGTCACATATCAGAACATACTCTTATTTTCCTGTTTTCTCAGTCTGCCATGTTTTTTGGAAAAGTACATTGTTTTGAGTTCTCGGGGTCCTTCCAAACAGCCATATAACCCAGAATATCAAAGCAGAAAACCCTACAATATCTGCTTTGAACTGAGTTATCCTAGTCCACTCTGCCATATATTCCAATTCAGAGCAGATAATGTGGGATTTTATTCAGCTGTTTGGCAGTGGCCAAAGTCACAAAAATGTACAGTTTACGTATCCCTCATTCAAAATACTTGGGACCAGAAGCACTCTTTATTCTGATTTTTTTGGAATACAATTCACACTTTGTATCCACAAGTTTAGCAATCCACAGCTTGAAAATATTTTTTAACTCTACCACTCATCCTTGATTTTGCTATTTTATATAAGGGACACCACTTTGCTCTGCTTGCTGTACCTGTATTTACACATAATAATATAAAGGAGAAGATGCTCACTCATCTTTCAGATTCTAAGCCTCCCTCCAGCCCTCACATCTCTTATATAACAGAAGTAGTGTACATCAAATGCAAGACTAGTGAGAGACTGAGGATTTGAGAGATGTATGAGCAGGAGTACATTGAAGACAGAAGTGGGTGCCTTCTGGCAAAACATTTGGTTGTTGGAGTTTTAAGATTTCAGGATTAAGAGAGGCTCAACCTGCATTCACAAACAACAGCAAGAAAAAATTCAAGCTGCTATTAAAAATGATTTATTGATATATTGAGATGTTATTTGATGGATTTAGCTGGATTATTTTGGAATAGTTTTCAAAGAAATAGTTTCAATTGATTTATTTGGTGTCATTAAAACTGTTTGGTCCAAAGATTTTTTAAAAGGAAATTCATGCAATCTATATTTAATGTATCAAGAAATCATTATTTTAAATTATAGCTGTTCGGCTTTGTCTTCTTCCCTTTTAATAATTGGTGATGCCCCTCTTTTGCTTATTATTAAATATACATATGTATTCCTGGGAACATAAATTCTTTATAAACTTGTATAATTTTAAATATAATGATGAGTCATCTCATAGCAACAAGCAATATAATTTGCAATATTTCAAATACAATATAAGTAAAACCAAGTAGTTATTTAAATTAAGATAAAGCGTTTACACTCAAAAGGACTGTCATAAAAGTGTTTGCTGTACAATTCACTGGAACCAATAGGGATGGAACTAATCCCCCCCCCCCCCAAAATATATATGGTTGTAGTTACCTTTTCCAACTTTCGTACAAATTCAACTTAAGAGCAAACTTACAGAACCTATCTTTCTTCCTAACTTGGGGACTGTCTGAAGCCTGCAAGTTGTTAAAGTCTTTCACCATGTTCACATACTTAAGTTGAACAAACTGAAATGCTTGTTGCATTCTTCAAAATTGGTCCTGTGGATACTTCAGTTACCTCATCTGAATAGACCCTAACCCCAAGTCTTGGTGGATATACATTATTTTTGTCAACATTTATCAGGCTCATCACAATGTGGTTTCCAGAGTTCTCCCTCATTAATCTGATCTCTACTAAGTAACGGTCTTTTAACTACCAAAACAACCCATGCAAATGCAGAGAATGACAGTTTCATTGCCATTACCACCATAGGGTAAGCCCTAATGTGGATTCTAAATCATATTTGATTAGATTCATCTTTGGTCTCTTGTTCTAATTGTCTATATACAAATGCTTCATTTTCCTGAGCTCAGAAAAGCTCTTTTAGTGACAAGCAGTGGGTGCTTGGCAGTAGAACCCAGCTGTCTGTATCATTTTTCCATTTCCCATATTGATAAGTGTTTCAGTGAAATTGTGAGATTGAAATCCTTTTAGGCAAATCATTTCATGACAACAGAGTTCTTGAGCGTTCTCCCTGCTGCTCTTCAGATCAGCTTCAACATAGCTGACAAAAATCAGATCAAGAGTGTGACCTGCCTTATTGATCTAGGATTAGCTGTTTGTCTCTGCCCCCCCCCCCACCCCCCCCCCCCCCCAGGAACAGCTTAGGATTCCATAACTTTCACAGCAACCATGGACCTTCATCAATAAGGCAGATCCATGGGGCCAGACTTACTGTGATCCTTAACCCAGCATGATCCTTTTGGTGCAGTCACCACCTTCAAGATGACCTGCACCAATTTAATTGAGCAGTGCAGTAAGCACAATTTGTGTTGCACCCAATCAAATCTTGGATATTGCAGGATAACGCTTCTCACAGAGAGACATACAGGTTACTGTAACTACCTGCTTTTCTATTTTCAAACTGCAAATAAAAGATCTGGCAAGGATATTTTCCACACACTCATTTTCTCCCAACCAAGTTTTGATTATCCATGTAAAGTTATCAAGCTTCTTTATCACATTAGCATTTTAACGGAGGGGTTCCCCCTTCATGTGGCTGCCTCCTGCAGAATTCTGGGAAATATAGTTTAGGATGGCCTAAGACCTCTTCAGTGTTTTTCAGACTGTGCTCTTCCTGGTGTTTTGGACTTCACCTCCCAAAAATCCCAGTCAGCTTGCCAGCTGTTAGGAATTGTGAAAGCTGAAGTCCAAAACATCTGGGGAGCACAGTTTGAGAAACTCTGCTCTAGCTGATCATCCAAAGGCCCTGTCCTAAACTACAAGCCCCAGAATTCTGCAGGATTCAGCCACATAGGAAATTGGGAATCCCCACTTTAAAACGAAAATGTGATGCCCCTACTCATCCAAGAATTTTGTAGTTCTTTATAATCACTGACTTAAGAGTTAAGGCATATCTTTTGTCTTAGGATCTGGTCAAAATCTGTTCCATAATGTCACCAGGAGAAAGGATGGTAATAAAATGTCTCCTTGCCAGTATTCCCATGAGAGGGGGAAGCCCTTTTGTTCGTCATGAGTATCCATTGTCTCTTACAGATTCAAGGCTCAATTAAACAAATTATATCATTAAAACACAATTCTGCTAAAAGCAATTTATATAATATTGGTTAAAAAGTGTAATACCCACTGATAAGATGCTCCTTTCATTTGCCAAAAACCTGATTCAACACCAAAAAAAGTTCTTTGTTGATTGAAGCAGAACAGAAAAAGGACAACTTGAACTCTTTTTGAAGAGAGTTCCATAGCCTGTGAGCAGCTGCTAAAAATGCCCTTTCTTGCCTCCCTATTTTAACATGATTCAGGGTGGCGTTATCAAGAAAGAGGCTTTCTCATAGGAAAATGTTTTTTAAAATAGCTGATATTTACACTGGTGCAATGGAGTTGTCCACTAGCTATTACTTGATTAACTTTGACTTAAGATGATCCTGGGTGCATCTGCACTGTAGAAATAATGCAGTTTGACACCACTTGAACTGCCATGGCTCAGTGTTGTCCAATCATGGAAGTTGTAGTTTTTCCCTAGTCTTGAGCTTTCCCTGTCAAAGAGTGTTGGTGCCTCAGCAACCAACAAATCCTAGGATTGTATAGCATTGACTTTTAAAGTATTGTCATACTGCATGCATTCTACATTGTAGATCTACTGTGAATGAGAGATAGTTAAATAACATTGTCATCAGCAGCTTCACTCTGATCTTAGAAATTCAGGTCTGTTGTTTCCTTGATTTGGATAGTCATCTGCAGTGTGGTCTTCCTCTTCTCTACCTTGCAAAATACTAATATTCAAGGTATGGTAGTCTCAGTTTGATTCCATTTCTTTATATTCTGTCCTCTAACAGTGAGCTCTCATCCTGAGTATAGGTTACACGTTAGAATAATCAAAGGTTATGATACAACTATTTATTTTAAGAGCAATCCATAGTTTTTAACATATACACGGGCTTTGCTATAACCTGAAAAGCCGAGGCTAGTTTTCTTCTGAAATTCTTTGGTATGCTTCATTATCAAACATACACTTACAATATGATCCCTTGTATGTCTTCCTCTTCTATTAACACAGAATGTAACCACTATTTAGGTTGACATTGTGTTAATAGAAGTGCATCATATAGGCAATTTCAGAAGGAAATGCTAATGCTTTTGGAGATATATATAACAACTTAATTTGTATATTTGCATTCCATTTGTGCATAAGTTTGCATGAGATTTTAAGGGATATTTTGATGGTTCAGAACATGTAACAAACCTATACATTTGGCTTTTTCCCCCAGTCGCAAATCAACTTTCATGGAAAGAAACTTAAACTAGGACCTGCAATAAGAAAACACCCAAACTTATGTGAGTGATGTTTTGCTTGGTTTCTTGTATGGGAAGAAACAATTGTGTGGTCTGAGAGATGCAAGTGGTCCCCAGACTGAGTTTTCTGGTCTTCTACTTTCCCCAGTGTCCTCTTTAAAAAAAGTATTAATAGACTAGTTTGTTGCAGAAAACCATGGTGTCAGCCTTCTGTCTGTCATTTCTCTTTCTTGCCTGCCTCCTCTTCTCCCTGTCCAGCTAATGGCCTGTAGGCATTAATTGAGGACCGAGGGGAGGAAGCAGTGATGGCCTCCATAGAGGCTTTGACATCCCCTGCTCTTCACCAGAAAGGAGGAGCAGGAGTGGGGTGCCAGCCTTTTTTGCTCCCAGGAGTGTTGGAGCAAAGGCATTATGACTAGTTGCCATTTCCAAGGCATTTTGAAAAGAGTTGGTGGCCTTCTTTGGCTACTAAAGGGAAAATATAGAGTTGCTGGTGGTGCCACAGTCACTGTCATAAGTGGAAACAGTGTTTGTTTTGGGTGCTAAAGTGGATATGGCCCACTGTGCGTCAAAGGACGGGATAATTTCCTGTCTACATTTGCAGCCATGCCTACTCATGTCTATGTGAAGGGAGGCATTTTGAAACTGCAAACTTAAATGTTCCTGCTATAGTTTGAAGAAGTGTAATACTGGCACTTGCTACTTTGTACCAGCCTGCATAATTCCTGCTAAAAACGACATTTTAAGGATGCAGTTTTCATTATAATTTTGCTGCTCTATGAACATGAGTGGCATTGCATAGTAAATCTTATAAATAGTGTGGCTTCATTAGTACTATCCATTAGTTCTAGTTCCAATTTCTGTAGAACTAGAATAGTCAGGTAGTTGTAGCCCTCCTGACATTTTTGGACCATTTTCTTGTTGTCTTTAAGCCATAATACCACATCTATGTGGCATGCTAGGAGTTGCAGTCTAGCAATCTTTGAAGGACTATAGTTACCGCCATGTAAGAGGAAAAGGTATTTTAGTGCTACAACAACATGTGGTATTAGGGTTTTGTATGTTTGAGAACATTCTCAACATTTTTGTCTCCTAAGGTGCCTATCATGTGCCACCCAGACCTGTGCTTATTAATTCACCCACACCTCAGTTCCACAGTGTTTGGAATAACCAAGAAACATATATGCAGCCTCCAGCTATGATGAGTCCTGTCACACAGTATATTCAGGTAAAGGTTTTTTGAGTGGTTTATTCTAGCAAGCATGTTGTGTTGCTTGATTTTTTAAAAAAGTTTGGATGATTAAGTAAAATTGTACTATTGGGTTTTGAGATTTGAGTCAAATCTTAATTGGGCCTCTGTAGCCTTTGATCTATTTTTTTACTTGTCCTAAGGCATGAATGGGAAAATATTCCACCATGTGTGAATCTTGACTGTGGTTAGAAACTAATACTGATACCAGGTTTCTTTGAGTGATGATGGTGATGATTATGTTTATTTATAACGCTCCTTTCACCAAATTGCAAACCATCAACACTTACAAACGTGGACAAGGATTAAAACATGACACTAGAAACATAAGAAGTGAAATCTCCCAACACCCTGTCTCAGCCTCAACTCAGCAATGCAGTGTGGTAAATCAGAGAGGGAAGGTATTCAATAAAAACAGGTGAGATCCTCCTCCAGCCATAGATACTGATACAGAACAAGGGACTAAAAGGCTTGCAGTCTTGACAGCTATATGTATAGATGGAGCAGACACAAGTCCTTTGCCGCCTTAAATACTAGAACCAAAAATTTGAAGCGTCCCTGGCCACAACTGGTAGGCAGTGAAGGGGTGGATCAGTGGGGAGAAGAGACATGTGAATATTTTTAGAGAGATTTAAAACAATCTGAACAATATTTTTCTGGATTAAAACCAAAGTAGGAAGAGATCAGGAAGTGAAAACTGCTAGTAGACTATAACAATAATGCCGCTGGACAAGCAGATGGGCGGTCCTAATTGTAAAAAACATATGACTCTATGGATGTTCAAAAGAAGGAAATTATATTTGTATATAAATTGACCTCATGTTTATGTTGAGGGCAGAAATTAGGGGTAATTTTGAATAAGTCATGGATCATTCCATAGAGCAAGGGAAGTTCCAGCACAACCTTAGAAAGAGCCGCTCTTGGCAATAGTTGCCACCATTTTTCTTCCCATGGATTCAAAAAGGCCAGAAACAGTGCCACAGCAGTTTCATTCATCCTTGGATAAATTAATCCAGGTTGTTTGGATTGATTTTTTGACTGAAATTTTTAGACTTAAATGTGAGTGTATATATAGCACATGACTTCACTTCTATCAAAACAAAAGGATACAGGAACAAACTGTCATCAAGCAAGTCTCCAAGGTTCCTGTCCTATGTTCCTGTCAGCAAATGACCCAGCAGTCGGTTGATTAGAATGTAAGAACTGTTGAAGAGCTCGTTCAGTTCAGGTCATTCACAGGGTATCCATCAATTTCAACCCTCCAACTGCTAAACAACCAAACAAGTAAAAACACGAGTGTCTCTGAGCAATCTCCGACACTGCCATCTTCCTTCTTTACTTAGTCATATATTTCAATTTCTAGTATCTCATGGAAGTCATGCTTGAAGCTTACTTAAAATCACCGATTTTAAGTGTCACCGATTTTAAAATCACTTAAAATCACCAATTTTAAGTGAAAATCTTCAGTTGTGGTCCATGTTCTTGTACCCTTTGTGTGCCCTTAGTTTGATATTCTGGTGTGTTTTTTTTTAACAAATGGTACAAACTGCCACTTGTCAAGTTATGATTCAGCAGCAAAGTTGTTGTTAACTAGTAATTACAGTTTAAATCTCTCAAGCTAGAGGGGAAAGTGAGTAAATAAATCTTACATTAGTTTCTTTAAGGAACAAAGTGCTTCACTTTTGCGGGGGGTTTTTTGTGCAAGTCGCTTCTGGTGTGAGAGAATTGGCCGTCTGCAAGGACGTTGCCCGGGGGATGCCGGGATGTTTTGATCTTTTCCCATCCTTGTGGAAGGCTTCTCTCATGTCCCCTGCATGAGGACGTGGAGCTGACAGAGGGAGCTCAACCTGCTTTTGGTTGTAAACTAGTTAACAGTGTCACATTTTTACTAGTTGAATCTAGCTTGTTGTCCACAAGTCGAGTCTTGTAAGGAAATGTTCGTGAAAAATTTCAGAATGTTTATTCAAAATCCTTAACATCTAGCATTTGTTATCTATCCTGTTGATGGAGAGAAAGATAACCAGCTGTACTTTATATTTGAATTTACAGACATATCCCTATGGTTCACCAGCTTTATTAATTCAGCATCAAGTTCCTATGGGATACCAGCCAACTTACAATTATCAGGTTAGTGTGAATATTCCTAAATTTTAGAAACTTTGTAATTATTTTTGATCTTAGATTTGAAGGGAACATATTTAAATGTGGTTTACCTCAGATAAATAACTGAATCAGAAGTATATCTACATGGCTATGGGAGGAGCCCATAGGAAGCCATGATCATAATTTTCAAGTATATTCAGTGAAATAGATGTTTGTTTGTATACGCATGCATACGATGATAGAGGGCAATGAGATAGCTAAATATAAAAAATGTAGCTTTGAAACTAGAAAAGCTTGTCATTTATCACTGTTTAGAGCAGGCATCCTCAAACTGTGACCCTCCAGCTGTTTGGGCCTCCAACTCCCAGAAGCCCTAACGAGTTTGTTCAGTTATCAGGAATTCTGGGAGTTGAAGGCCCAAACCAGTGGAGGGCATAGTTTGAGGATACCTGGTTTAGAGCAAGGATATGATCTTGACAAGCCTCAAGGGCCAAATTTCTTCCCTTCCGATGCTCTGGAAGCCAAATGGACCTCCAAAATATTTTTTAAAAGAAAAAAACTAGAAATGGCTAAAAGTTCACTTGTGATTTTAAAGAAAAAAATTGATTGTTTATGTTAAATAGTGCAAGAAGGACTGACATTTATTTAGAAGATGAATCACTTCTCCAGAGGTTCCCAAAAGAGGCAATTCATCCTTGTTTTGCCAGGAAAGTGATTGCAGAAGGGAATCTGGAAAGAGTCCTGGATTGCAAAAGCAGCTTCTGTTTGTCCACCTTCGGTTTAGAGATTATTTGTATCAGTGTCTCCATCTTCTTGTAATGTTAAAATCAACGCAAAACACATGTCTTTTGAGTTGACAGCCAATATTGAAAGTTTGGGGGTTGCATAATATGAAATCGTTTAAACATACATTTAATGTAAAGTAAGATGCATTTTTGAACTTCGCGATTTTTGAATAGTAGAGAAATTAGTCAAAGTTATTTAGAGGAAGCCCAAGAAATTGAAAAAATAATTGGATGGCAACCTTGAGTATGTACGTTTGAAAAATTAAACTTGAATTGCATATTGCTTCCTGTCCCTCTTTCCAAAGACTTTGATAGTCCATTTGGAATGTCCCATCTTGTGTAAATAGCATTTATTGCCAATCTTGCCTCTAGTTCTTTAAACTTAATGGATAAACATGTAGACTTCACTGTTTATGGCGGTACTTACGTTTAAAATATGGCGTGCTCAAAACTGCTAGATATTGATATAATCTCTCTTTTTTTTAAGGTTCCACCCCAATGGCCTCCTGGAGAGCCAAGAAATTACATTGTGCCCCCGGTAAGAAAATCATCCTTTTTTATTTATGTATAAATCCAGACAGCCAGGATAGCACAAGAAAAATTATCAAGCTGAAATAATTTTCAGAGAAAGTTTTATTAAGAAATAGAAGCACTCTTTGCAATGAATGTGGGTACTGGAAGGCATTCCTTTTCAGCTTTCTGGAGCAACTGCTAAAGATAATTTGTTCATTGGCTCAAGTAAAAATAAGTTTGATCTTCCTGTTTTTAAAATTATTCATGTATTTAAATCAAAATTCAGGACATAAAGTCTAGAAGAAGTTGTATGAAGACACCAAAAATGGTGGAATTAACAAATTACAGAGCATTGACAAACAATTAAAATTATTTAATACTAAACAGTAGATTTATGTGGCTGACAATATAAAGTAAATAACAGCATAGCATTCTATGAGTGAACCACTAGAAGTAACGAATGAAGATAGGTTCTGTGGGTTTATTTTAAGTTGAATTTGTATGCAAGTCAGAATAGGTACATTTTATAAATGTAACTCATGTCAAATAGACAGATAGCATAGGGAAAGGTTAACACCCCTGTGGAATTTGTTCTACTGTCTTTGCCCAGTTCAGAAGATTCCACCTCACTTTCTGTCTCTGTGATAATTGGATTTTGAAAAAAATTGGTGGTTGTTGAAAGAAGGATTGGTAACAAAGCTTCAGTAGAGAAACCTTTTCCCCATTATAACTCTTTCAGGAGTGAATTTTGCTTTCTAGAGGTAGATTTTTTACTTCTTGTTGTCTCACTCCCATTCTTAACTATGAGTTGTTTATAAGCTGGATATTTGTAACTTGGGAGCTGTCCTGGTTTTATTTAGTACCTAAGGAAATAAAGACAGTGACAGGTGATAAGCTCAAGAGATGATTTCTTAACCTGGCCTCTTTTATGATTTTCCTGTGATCTTGAGTAACAGCCATATCTAATTTTGTCATAATTGAGCAATTGAAGTTACACTTGGGAAAGAATATCTGAAGTTCTCAACTTTCTTTGCTGGAGGTTTTGATTCTTTAAGCCAGTGGACAAGTTTTACTATACAGTGTATTGTTTCTGTTCAGGTGTTCAAGAAATAATTTTATCAGGCATGTATGTATGAGCAAGAAAATCCTTTAAATACCTTCATTTCAGAAGCAACAACTGCTTCAAGGAGTTGAATATAGCTTTGAGAGTCTTGGTTAAAGTATGGAAAATGACAGAAAGTCCTAACTCTGCTGCCAGAAAAGTGACTCTCTTTGAGAACTAATGTGTCTGTCAGTGGATTTTGGTATCAATAGGAACTTTCTTGGTTCTCAGAAGTGCAGGAGGGATTTTTACCAAGGTTTTGGTGAGAAGGAATGGGTTACGCATCCCTCTTTGTTGCTGCAGTCTAAAAATAACATATATCTTGCCTAAAATGGTTAAGTTCTAATTGTAATCTTGCTGTGCTGAATTTTTCTGGAGTGTATTTGCTAATCAAAGTAAGTGTGAATGTTGGTTTTCAATCATTGGCCATGAAAAAAACCAGGAATTTCTCCTGGTATGGTTATGGGGACTTATGAGTTCATGTAAAAGTTTCTGTTTGAATAATGAGCTCTGATAGCAGTTTGAGACCTGTTTAATCTTATTTTATGTTATGTGAGATCTTAACTAATCATTTTATTGTTTTGAAAAATAGATAGTAAAGAAGTAGTCCAGAACTTTAAAAAAAAGGAATGGTTGTCCATACAAGAAGCTGCAACAAACTATTAAGAAATATAGCTGGAAAAATTCAAAAGTGTCTTATCTGTGGGAAGATTTTTTGAATAATAGCTGTAAAATGGGGGCAGGTGGGAAATTAGGTACTTGAGACACTGAGAAAAGTATTTTGTGTTATGCAAAGCTGACAATTTTGTCCTTATGATCCGTAGTAGCTTAATCCAGACATTCACTCAGCTCGTGTCCAGTATAGATGGCCACAAGTGAATAGGAAAATAAGTAATAGAGCTTACCGTATTTTCCCTTCAGTACTTCTGGTTGCAAATTTGCGTATACTTCTGTTTCAAACTTACTCTCTTCTCATTTTCCTAATTATATTGACTATTTAAATTTCATATTTTTCACAGGCTTATACCACAATGAATTACGGTAGTGAAATGGATGTAGGAACTGACCAGTTGGAGTGTTCTATGGCTGACACTGCCCAATCTTGTGCAAATAGTCCACAAAAGGTATGTGTGATTTCTTCTGCAATCCCTTTTTTATATGTACTGAACCAGATAAGATGTCAGTTTATTAGTGAAATAAGGGGCCTCGAGAGAAAAGGAAGATCAGATTATGGGAAGATATGTTGCTTTTCTCACATCCTCAGACCAGCACAGTTAGTATTGAATAAAAATACTGAAGTCTATTGAGCAATAAGCTACTGACTTACTGCTTAATTCTATGTTTTGTCCCATGTTTGTTAACATTTGGCAGAAGTGCATGGCAATGATATTATGAATTTTACTATCTTGGTTTTTGTATTTCTGGAGTTGGAAGGTGGCGTTGTATGGTGAAACATAGAATTGCTTCTCTGAATCATTGCTTATTGCTGGAAAACTTACTCGGGCATGAGCCGTTTAGTTTAACTTTTTCATTTGGGGTTCTTACAGGATTATTATGTATCAGGTATCTGAATAAACTTTAAATTGGAGGTTTTTGTGTCATAAGGGTTGGGAATGTTTACTTCTCTTCTTATAAGACTTCTAAAAGAAAGTGTCATGTTGGAAACTTTATGTATCTGCATTTGCGGGGGGTCACAAGACCTGCTATATATTGAATTGGGGGTTTTGTCTATAGTTTCCTGGACCATGAAATATTTTATTACAACTTGTGCAGTGAACTGCTTTTGCATTCCAAACCCATGCATCTTGATTAAGGCCTTTTTTGGTATTGAAAGCCACTTCTTTCCGAATCCTCGTCCTACCCAATTTTAATCTTGTTTGACCATCAACCTAAAGTTGTTTTTGATAAATGTATACGTATTTATATTTAGTATAAATGTTTCCTTATATTAACTTTATAACAATTAGTATATTAATATTAGCTAAAACTACTGTCAGAATATTAATATTAGCTAAAATGACTTAGGAAGGTTCAGAAATTCCAACAGCATGTGGAAGCTTTCTTCTTGGCCATTAAATTACTCTGTAACACATCAGGAAATTTATATTCTTTGGAGAAAGGGCTTCTTCAATGGAGAAGAAATTGTAACTTCCCTCTTGAGTTGCTGCTGTGATATCTTAGAAAAAGACTATTAGAAAACATGCCTCAGCACAAAATATGATTCCGTCCTTGAGATTAGGAACCTTTGCTGCAGAGGTCTTGGTGCATGCAACTTTATGCTCAAGTCTTTAGGATAGATGCTGCATGCAATATTGACAATAAACTCATAAAACTTTATTTTAGAAATCTGTGGACCGAAGCATACAGACAGTAGTATCATGTCTGTGTAATCCAGACAGTCGATTGAGGAACAGTATTGTAACTCAAGAGGACTACCTTAAGGTATGAATAAGACTGCAGGCTGCTAAGAGCTCTCATATTGGTATAGCAGATCTTAATCAATAAATATTACTGAATTTTATTATTAGGGACTACCAAAATTGCTGACACTGTGTTTGACACAGTGGCACTTGAAAGCATACAGGTTATTTATTTATTTTGTGTCAAAACATTGCATAAACAAATAAGTATAAAACAGATAAAATAGAGGGAACACAAGTGGCTAAATAATTTTTGACCAAAAACGGGCAACTGCGACCATATTGTCTGTAGCTTTAAACAGTTTTTCCTCTGTGCATGAGGCAGGGCATTGTGGGCAAGCATACAGATGCAAAGTTGTTTGCTCTGCTCCACAGTCACACAAGGTGGAGGATTCTTCTAGGTAGTGCCATTTTGCCAGGTTGTCTTTCGATTATCCCACTCCACTTCTTTGTCTGTTCAGGGATTTCCAATTTGGCCATTCTTGGTTTGCCCCATAAGGCAGATCCTCGTGGGGGACCATCCAGTTGAGATTGCCTGATTTTTCTGCCCATAGGGATATACTTGCTGTTGTTGAGAGAACATTAAGAGGAGTGAAGGTTCTCATGAAGCTTTTATTTGATTTGAGTCTACTGGGAGGGGGCTGTTAGCAATGCAGTGGATGGCTTTAACAGTGTTCAATCTTATTTCTCTCACAGTTAGTAGCAACTTCCCATCGCATTTGGGGGGGGGGGGGCAATGCCAGCTAGCTTACAGAATTTATTAACAGATGTAGGTTTGAGACATCCTGTGATTATTCTACATGTTTTGTTTAGTTCTATATTCAACTGCTTCGCGTCAGCAGACTTGTACCAAACAAGGCAAGCACACTCAGCAGTTGAATATGACAAGGCCAGGGCTGATGTTCGTATTCATTTTGAGTCTGCACCCCATGCACTGTCAGTCAGTTTCCACAGGATGTTATTGCATGCAGCTACTTTGTACTTTGTGTTCATACAGTGTTTCCTAAATGTTAGTTTTTGATCTAAGGTGACACCCAGATATTTAGGATGGGAAAAGTGTTTGAGCTCTTGGCCTTCCTAGGTAATTTTCAATTTCCTATTGGCTTCACGGTTACGTAGGTGGAAAACATGCACTTGTGTCTTGGCAGGGTTAGGCTTCAGGTGGTTATCTTTGTAATAGCTGGAGAGATCCTTCAGGGTGGTTGTTTTCGACTTTCAAGGCCAAGGTTGTTAACATATATAAAGCCGTGAGTGGTGGCTGTGGGTGATCATTAGTAAAGATGTTAAACAAGGTAAGAACACTGCTATGAGGTAAACCATTCTTTTGCCTCCTCCATCTACCTTTCCTGCCTTGAAACTCCACATAGAAGCCGCAATTTTCTAGGAGGGTCTGGATAGTTTTTTTTAAAAAACAGGTTACAGGTAAAAATATTCTGATTGCAGACTTGACTGACAGTGATCATTCTCCTTATAGCCTTAATTTGATATTCAGATGTTGTCACTGAATATTTACAAAGAGGAATTTGGTTTCTCGGTTTGTAGAAGTGTTTGTTTGGGGCAGTCTATCATTTTCCTTTATGGTGCAATACCAATAATCAGAGGATGTACAAGCATTTCTGCTTTTTTTACTACATAGAAAACTACCTTAAGTTGAAATAGTTCTCTGAACTAGGTGTTTAAATTGTGGTCTTTTGTTTTAACTTTACTTGTTTTCTTCCCCTCTTTTGTAGGAGAAGAGAGCACATCATTTTAGAAGAAGCAGAGCTGTTCTTAAAAGTGTTTGATTTAATGAGATTGACTCAGAAGACCTGAAGTACTTCCATTTGTCATCCGTTATCTTTATCCTACAGTTAATATAGATGACAAACACTTGGCAATTATGTACTGTTTTTGGCAAACGTTCCTTGCAATTAGCATTTGGTTGTAATTTCTATGTTGCCTGTTTCTAGACATGTTTGAATTCTGTGTTATTTATTTCTATAAGTGTTTGTATGTTTCATCTGTTTTAAGTGTTCTAGTTAACAGTTGTTCTCAATTTTTAGACAAGTTAGTTTGTGTTTCTTCCTAAACTTTAAAGTTCTATTTTAGTGCATGTTGGCGCTTAAGGTTTATTAACATTTTAACATGTATCTTCTGTACTTACGACCAGCTCACACTTAATTTTTTTGCTAAAGATATTTTTAAAACTGTACTTGAATCAGGTGAATAGATATACCTCCAGTTGCATCTCAGTGTCATAAATACATATCTCAGTACAGTATTGCCTTAAAAATCCAATCAGTGAAAACTGCATTCACTAACTGTGTGTACGGCTTACTTAGTCTGTTTTATAACTGATAATTAAAAGTGTACTCAAGGATGTAACTAATGGTATTAACTATACTTAGTGAGTTGCACTTTTTTATATACTGCGTAAACTTCGCTAATACCCTTATCTTAAAATTGTGGAATGAACAAGTACTTTTCTGTGATCGTAAGAATTTTTAAAGTGGTCACCAACTTTAAATCAAAGAATTTGGAAAAGAGTTCAATTATGTAGACTTGAGTTTTATGTCAGTAGTATTCCACAAATAAATTTTCTGAGATGGATTTCTTTTGTTATTTTTAATACAAGTTATAGTGTACCTGGAAAGTGAGACACATGTAAGACACATGTATAGCATGTCCAAAAATAAGTTGATCTGACTATGTTTGGCTTATTGTCTCAGTTAGTGAGTCCAAAACAGGCATGGGCAAACTTTGGCCCTCCAGGTGTTTTGGACTTCAACTCTCACAATTCCTAAATGCCTCAGGCAGTTCCTTTTTCCCCTCAGCCGCTTAAGTGGCTGAGGGGGAAAAGGAAGGGAACCGAGGCTGTTAGGAATTGTGGGAGTACACGTCCAAAACATCTGGAGGGCCAAAGTTTGCCCATGCCTGGTCTAAAACATCAGGGGATTAGACTTGTTATGATCAAGGGAAATTCAAGCACATCTGTCTCTACTCAAGTTCTGTGCATTTATTTTATCTGGAAAATGAAGCAATGTCTGGGTTTCTCTTGACTGAGCAGATGAAAGGGGGACCTAGTAGGCAGAATTCTCTAGCTCTTACCCACATACCAGTCACCACTGCCACCTTTTGGGAATGGAACGGAAATGAATTAATGTTTTCCTTCTACCTAGTGAAGATGCCCCCTCTATGCTTAAATAGGCAAATAATTAGTGAAGCTTTAAAAAGAGAAACAGGAAGTTTTACAGTAAGAAAGAATAATCAGGTTAGTAAGGCATTGTACATATAGAAGAAAATTTAAATGTTACAGTACATTTTCTTTCTCAATTTTTTATTATTTTGCTGATAATGTGCTTTATATGATACTGAGTTTCCAAGTACTCTAAAATGTAGTTAGAAGCCTTTGAGGAGTTTCTTTAAATTCAGAAGGCCAAATGATACAAGTAAATGAATAAATAAATGAATAAACACCCACTTATTAATAGACTGTATAAAGTACTGGTGCACAGTAGTAAAATATAAGTACTTAGTACAGAGTCCTGTGGGTTCAGATGGCTCATAATAGGCATATAAAAAGGTTGTTGTGATTTAAAGAAGAAAGAGTAGATAGAGTCTTAGTAAAGCACAAGACTAGGAAAATGTTCCCACTGCAACAAAGTTACTGGCCACCAGATGGAGTGTTAGGCTAAGTATTACTACAAATTGTTAGAAGTGCAGTCATTCTATAGTATTGCAATAAGGAAATCATTGCATGCTGAAAGATTAATTGGTGTACCTTGACATATGCTGTTTTATGTATCAGCTTACTTTTCCCCCATAATATTTTTTCATGTTCATGGTGCTACAGAATGATGTTGTTTCTACTGTAGTAAACTAACTTCTGACCAATGATTACGGTATATTGCAGTGATTATTAATTTACATGTACTATATTTGGCCTTTTGAATTTCAAGAAAAACCTCAAAAACTGCAAACTAATAGCCATTAGACACTCAGATAATATAAAGCACATTATCGGCAAACCAACAAACATTTCTGAAAGGAAAATATATCCTTTTTTAAAATTTTTCTTCTTATAGGTTCAGATAGATTCTGTAGAAAGCTATCTTTATCCACATTGTGTACCTTTATTATTCCTTCTGTCTTAGTCAGGGGACTCCTTTTTATTTCTCTCTGTACGCCTGTCTTTTCATTTTACTCTGATTGGAGTAGAAAAATAGACACAACCCTTCTTTCTAATTGTAATTCATATCTCCTTCCTTCCCATGGAGCAAATATATCTATTAGTAGTGATACTTTAATAGTTTCATAATGAGTGGGACAGACCATTAAGGAAAGATAATTTTTCCTCTGTGCTTCATTGCTTTGAGAACTTACCACTCTTAGAAACATTTCATTGAAATAGATCAGAAACATGCCATTGTGGCCCTCCAGATGTTGGTGGACTGTAACTCATATAACAGTTTGGCCAGCATAGTCGATAATGACAAATGTGGGGATTTGCAGCCCAATAGGCACTTAACTAGTGGTTCAAGGACCCCACCAAGATCATAGGGTCTTAACTAGTGGTCCATGGACCCCACTAAGTGTCATCACAGGTGGTTCATTAAAACTGCTTCACCATGCAGCTGAGTGGCATGTGATGAAAAGGCAAGGCAAAAACTGGCTGCCTGGGTCAGGACATTTCATGTTACATGGACTGAAAGGAGGAGGTGGGCTGAGCATTTGAGTACATCTGCCATTCATCTGTCTGTTGTGGTCACTGGTGGGGATGGGGTGCTGCTGCTGCCGCCTAGTGGCTACATCCGGGTCTAACAAGGCATTTCTTCACAGATCTACTAGTCACCAGGCAGGTTAGACTATACATAATCCACTAAGCAAGTGAATATTGACAAGTGTCAGATACAAATTCCTGAGACAGAAAAGATCTGGACCTCTGCAGCAGTGAGACTAAAAGTTGTAGTCATGACCTCATCTAAAAAGAATGCTTTGCAAAAATGAATGTTTAATGAAAAATAGATTTCAGCTTTTTTTCTGGGTAAATTCTGTCCTATAAACAACACATTTCTCTACTCTTAATACTTAAGAACAATTCAGTTTATGTTAAAACCCTCCAAACCTTCCTCTTAAACATTCAAGCAAAGGGATGCATTTTCATACGTTTCAGTTCATGCTATTGATGACACATGTACACTATATTTGATTTTTAATAGATGTTCTTCATGACTACTAATATAGGCTTCAAGATGCAACCTTTCCCCCTTCCTATCATTGCTTGAAATCTCATTTCCGTCCCAACCAAAATACAGCTCAACTTCTTTAATTCAGTGCAGTGCTGTAAATCTGTAAGCAATATTTTTTAGCTAAAACAGATACCTATTCTTTCCCCCCATTGCTCTCATTTCACTGGCTGTGACCGTATTTCATCTTGGACTCTAATGCACCATGTATGCTCATATTGCTATATTATCATGATCTGTACATACAGTGGCAAGAAAACGTTTGTGAATTCCAGTGCTGTGTGTGGAAATGATATAATTTTGCCATGGTCGTTTTTGTGACTCAAAACCAGCCTTCATCAAACCTGTGTATTCTGAAATAAAATGATGTATCGATTAAAGAAACAGTACAGAGGAATCAGGATAAGTGCAAATGTAAGCAAACCTTTGGTTGTAGCAGCTCAATTAAAGGAAATAATTCAGAATAGGTACTTATATCATTAGGTGGGTCCCACTCTATAAATACATTATCAGAAACTTCGTAGGTTTGCTCTTCCACTATGTGGTTTGAAGAAACACTTCATACTATGGTTAAAAGTTTTGGGTAGCATCAATACCTAAATAATTTCACACAAAAAATGAGACAAACCAGCTATTTTCCAAAAGAATGCCAAAATCTGCCCAAATGTGTATAAAAACATTCAGGATATCAACTTAAGTCTATACAAGTCAAAATTGTCCAGTCCATTTTGTAGAACCAAATACATGTGCATGTTTAAGAAGGACTTTAATGCAAAAATCTATATGATTTTTGTTTTAATCCCTTCAGATCAGTGGTTCCCAACCTTTGTGTCTCCAGGTGTTTTGGACTTCAACTCCCAGAAATCCCATCCAGTTTACCATCTGTTAGGAACTGTTGGGAACTGAAGTCCAAAAGACCTGGAGGCCCAAATGTTGGGAACCACTACTTTAGATAATGCATCACATTTGGTGACAATGGCCAAGTCTATTTGAACAGCATAATAGACACACTTTAAATTATAATATAGTTCTAAAACATGACCAAATGCTTTATGTTCCAAATTAAATATATTTTACTGTTTCATTTTATTATGAGTTGCTTAAGGCTTCTGTCATCTTTATTTTAGGAAATCTATCACTTCTGACTACTAGCTTTGTGACTAGATATTCTACTTTTGATGTTCAAAATCACCAGTAGTGTGATATGAGAAACCATGGCTCTGATAGCCCATGAGACTGGATCTGGAACTGCTGCTGACCTGACTTCTTGTAACAATATACTGAAAAGGCTGCACTTTCACTCTTCCCCATACGCTTAAACAGCACTATCAGGAACTTGTGCAATTATATGGCTCCCCTGTTGTGAATGCATGCTGTTTTTTTCACGTAGTCAAAAAGCCAGACAAGTCAATGAGTGGGAAAAAATGATGAGGTAAAGAAAGAGTGTGAGAAAGGAAAACAGTGCAAACACAAAAAGGAAAATTCAAGGGGAGAAAGAAGAAGAAAGGTAAAAATAAGTCAGAAGATAAAATGATGAGAAATATGTGTGCTAGTAATGTCTTTTATAATTAAGGACAGCAACCTTTGTTACTGTGTTCTTTATCTTTAGGACTCCCTTTATTTCCCAACTTTTTCTTTTTGCTAGATGGCAGCATAATTTTGATTATCCATTCTTTGCAAATGAGTCCCGTTATCCTCAGTAAGCCTTCAGCACAGCTTCTTTTCTATTGTCGG